TGGCCCGACCCAACCCACTCAACAGACACCGTATGGACGCCTCCTGTCTGGTGGCCATCGATGGTAAGCGGCGTTTGGTCGGCGAAAAAGTTTGCGATTTGTTTGCAAAACAAATTTGTTTTGGTTTCTTATGACATGACGTCACACGCGCTCTAAGGCTATGCGCAATGCTTGCGATAAAAGGGACCGAATCGTCGGTATCATTGCGCGAGTATGTGGTTTGTGGTCATTATCATCCGATTTAATGATTAAATCAATTGGTGTTTAAAATTAATGTTATTTTCCTGAGATTATTGACACGTTTTCTGTTTATTAGCTTTGAGCTGTCGGTTGAGACCGAGTTTGGTGTCTCGTTGACTGATTTTTTCAGACACCAATACTTACCGCCAATAGTGAATGCCATCAAATTGGTCACCAATTCACGCGGCAATAGGTCTCAGCGGGTGATAACCACTCGATATACAGAGATTAAACTCAAACACAGCTAAACACCTCAAGAAAGTCTAACATAAGCCACTTCTTAAGCTACTATACATCGCGTACACGACATACTAAACCCCTTTCCAACCAAACTCTTACCACCAGATCCAGTGATAATCACATGAAACCGCAAATAAACCCCAAAGAACAAAAACTATTGTTTCCAACGATTTATTCACCAATTAATGGATACATCGATACATTAGAAAAAACACATTAGTCTTGAGGCGCGGGAACTAATCAAAGAGACCGAAACCCATGTCGTCGTCCTCTTCCTCCTCCGACTCGGGCTCCTTCTTCTTCTTGTCGTCCTTCTTGGCGGCGCCGGCATCGGCAGCAGGCGCTGCACCGCCAGCGGGAGCGCCGGCAGCCGGAGCCGCGGCGCCCACACCGGAGCCCACGTTTGTGATCAGCGCCTTCAGGTCGACGCTCTCGAGGGCTTTGCTGAAAAGTGACGGCCAGTAGGGCTCCACCTCCACGTTGGCCGCCTTCAGCAGCGTCTGGATCTTCTCGGCGGTGACGGCCACGTCGTCGTCCTGGAGGATGAGCGAGGCGTACACGCAGGACAGCTCGTCGGTCGATGACATGTTGG